TTGCTGCTGATTTCTGTTCGCCTGTTACCCCAAGTTGGGAAACGGGCAATTTGCATGGAAATGTTCGGAAATTTGGATGGGCTGCTGTAGGGATGTTTTTGTAAAAAGGTTGTTGTTGCCTTCACGCTGTTGTTGTCGGCAACAAATAGGTATAAACGCATAAAATGAAATATAACAGTTTATACCAATTATTATTTTTGCCCAAAAGTTTTTATAACAGTTTATACCAGTTTTCAGTTGCTTGCTGCTGGTTTCTGTTCGCCTGTTACCCCAGTTTGGAAAGCGGCCAATTTGAATGGAAAGTTTTGCTCACTTCCATCAGTGATGCTCACTTCCATCAGTGATGCTCACTTCCATCAGTGATGCTCACTTCCATCAGAGATGCTCACTTCCATCAGTGATGCTCACTTCCATCAGAGATGCTCACTTCCATCAGTGATGCTCACTTCCATCAGTGATGCTCATCTGCATCAGTGATGCTCATCTGCATCAGTGATGCTCATCTGCACAGTGATGCTCATCTGCACAGTGATGCTCATCTGCATCAGTGATGCTCATCTGCATCAGTAATGCTCATCTGCATCAGTGATGCTCATCTGCATCAGTGATGCTCTATTGGGACAAAATGCATCTCTCTAACTGCCAGTGATGCTCAACTAGCTATTTTGCATTATTGGGACAAAATGGCATCCCACTAACTACCAGTGATGCTCATCTAGCTATTTTGCCATATTGGAACAAAATGGCATCTCACTAACTGCCAGTAATACTTATCTAGCTATTTTGCATTATTGGGACAAAATAGCATCTCACTAACTGCCAGCAATGCTGATCTAGCAATTTAGCAATATTTGATGTTTTTTCCATTGTCCACCGCAAGAATGCCCTTCTATTGAACCTGTTTAAATTATCCCACCCAAAAAAAAAAAACCTCATACTCCTCATAAGTCAAAAATAACAAATTTTTAAAGGTTTTTTATTTACTTCAGCTTTAAATAAATAAAAAAAGAAAAAGTTAAGGTATGTGGAAATGTTGGTGGTCGTTTCCAGTGGTTTCGGCCCTCGTCGTGCTGCCTCAGCACCTGGTCCGCTTCTGCTCCTCCTCGTCCTGATCCTCCTTGCCAACGCTCTCTGTCTACATTTGTATGGCAGCTATATGATATAGTCGTCCGATCCGGCCCGTTCCGACATATATAGCAGTGAGAGCATATAGAAGACTATATGCAAAGTTTCATTCAGATAGCTTTAAAACTGAGGGACTAGTTTGCGTAGAAACAGACAGACGGACAGACGGACATGGCGAGATCGACTCGGCTGTTGATGCTGATCAAGAATATATATACTTTATAGGGTCGGAAACGTCTCCTTCACTGCATTGCAAACTTCTGACTGAAATTATAATACCCTGCAAGGGTATAAAAATACCATAACTTAGCCAAAAATGTTTTTAATTCTATTTGGAAAGTAGTTTTGTGCTAGTTTTCATTAGACTAACAAATCAGTCACCTTTACAAATTTATGAAACTAAATTTTTTGTCGATTTTTGCGAGTTTTAACGATGTAACCCCTTATAAAATTTTGGAAAAATAGAGAAAAAATTTTTTCGTGCTCACGTAGTTAGAAAGATGCGCTTGATTATGCTGATCAGGAATATATATGGTTTATGGGTTCGGAAATGACTCCTTCACGGATTAAAATCATAATACTCTTCAAGAAGACCGGTAATATTTAAAATAAATGTATATTTATCCAAATTGGTATATGGTAATTTTTCAGATAAATAAAAATTTTTGAAAATATTCAGGCCTGCTCCGGTAATCGTAAAATTTTTTCGATTTCGTTTTGGGCGAAAACGAACCGTTTTCGTTTTTAGCTGCTCCGGTTTTCGGCAAATTTCTGCTATCGGATGTTTCGTTTTCTCATCGTTTCTCTCTGCTCAAGCAGCTAACTTATGTTGTTGGTAATAAGCAAACAACGTAAATTACTGCCTATTATATTTACAATTGCCCTTTTTCTAAGCCAGAAAAAGGAAAAAAATGGTAGAATTAAGCAAATCCAGGCACCTAAGATGCTGCCACACTTTTCACAGTTTTAATTCCGGTGGTCTCAAATAATTATTTGGTTAATTTGGACCATTTAAGTAATCACATTAAATAGCATTAATTATAAACAACCATTTTGGCGGTCCTTTGAAGTTATTAATGTATTCATTTATATTTTATAAGTATTTTTAACTGGCTGTTTCGTTCCAAAAACAATATGGCAACCTTGGCGATAACTTTTTGCGGTGAACTTATCGACCTATCGCCAAAACGAGAAAACTGGTTGAACACGGCAAAAATTTTGTTGTCAAATCTGAGGTGGGGTCAGAAATAAATTTTTTATAAAATAATTACCTGTCAGAATGATCTTGTGGTGGTGTGGAATAAACATCAATAGACCACTGAGTAAACTATTTTTTTCCTTTTGTAAATAAGATCTGATTTCATATAAAAAAAGCCATTTAGTTTTCATTCCGGCCAGAAAAAGGTGCCCGTTTTTCAAATCGAACAAATCTTTCGATTTCGATTACCGGAGCACCAATTTCTCGTTTTCAAAAACGAAAACGAAAAATTCTTGCCGTTTTCGATTACCGGAGCAGGCCTGATTAATTTACTTAAAGACAAGACAACATACGAGTGGAGACTAAAGGTATACTACAAAAAATTATACAAACGCGTTTTAATTATCTTTATGTAAAGCATACTTTTACTATGTATAATAATGTATACTAGCAGAGAGTGTTAGCAGTTATTTTAAGAGTACATAATACTGTTAACGTATCTGGGACTACGATTCATTACCATTCATAATCTGTATGTAGGCTCTCTGTCTTTCCAAGAGGCGACTTTGTGCTTCGCGGTTTCCCTGAAATAACCTGAAGCCGAGAAAAAGCAGCACACCCACGACAAAGCCAACTCGAAGGGCATAGGTCAGCAGATAATCCAAGCGGTAGTACTGAATCATCGAAATGCCATCCTTATTTAGGCGAATGTGTTTGGCATCGCGGTGCCTCAGGGCGTACTCTGTCCACCAAACAGCCGTGCTCAAAGGACTCATTGGTCTGTCTCTGAAGGACTTGGACATTTCCCTTGCTCTGGAAGCATATTTAGGGTTCTCGAGGAGTTCCTCAATGGTATTGGTCAGGGTATCTGCGTTGAGGTTGTTGGTGTCCAAGACCTCGGCCATACCGCACTGCTTAGCCCGATGCATATTAGTAAAGTGGTCGAAGAAGAAGGGCAGTCCGAGCATTGGAACTCCGCTGTCTATCGCCTCCATCACGCTGAGTAGTCCTCCTTGGGTTATGAACAGCCGGACATTGGGATGGGCCAGCACTTGGCGCTGCGGAACCTTGGCTATGACATATATCTTGTTCGTCTTATTGGGCGTCGTCAAGTCCTCGTTCTTCCACACAATCCTCTGCTGGACCCGGGAGAAAGCCTGCAGGAGCGGTTGCTGCATGTGGTCCGGCAGATATTTTGCCAATATATCCAAACCCATTGAGAAGTAAATGACTCCGTGCTCCGCCTCGTCCATAAATCTCTGCAGCTCCTCACTGCACGGCTCCGGGGTTTCGCTGAGGTGCAATCCTCCTACATCGATTATACTAGGCACATTGGCTCGCACCCTTCTCATGCTGAAGTGACTGTTGCTCAGGATAACCGAGAACCTTGACCTTAAGTCCTCGAACGTCTTCGAGGAGTAGCCGAAGTACTTCTTAAAGATGCGCAGCTGAGCTGGTCGGATGATCAGACTCTCCAGCATCTTTTCTTCGGTGATAAAAATCCAATTGTAGATCATGCTTAACAAGGAGGTGTCCATCATATAGCCTATCGGGGAAATGGGTTCGTAGACGCTCGGTGCCGGATTGCCCGCCAGTTCCTCTAATACCCAACTTCGGCGCACACAGGAGAAGCCCATCAGAGAGGCGTTGTAGTACTCGGCCAGGCCGTAAAGCGCATCCAGATGGGTGACCTCCACCATGACCATATCGAAGTGCTCGCTCCTATCCTGCAACATCCGTTGAATGCCTTCGTTGCTTAGGATAGCTTGAGAAATATTGTAAAGCATTGAAGAGGCCAGCTCGCCCTCCGTCCACTTGTTTCGGAAGAAATCCATCAATTGGTCAGTGTCGATCATTTCTGCAGGAATAGAAAGCCGGAATTAGTTGCTAAATAATGTTATTAAAGGAAGTTTTTTAGAAATAAAGCTGAAATTAGTTCTAAATATATTGTTACCTAAGTTTTTTTACAGCTGAATTTGTGTTATTAAAACTTAAATTTAATTTAATGTAAACATACAAAGAAAACGTAACAAAATTTGGCACTATCTTATCTTTGGTAGAGGGTTCCCCAACGCGGATTGTGACTAACCTCTCATATGTTGGTTCAGCTTGGGCACTCGTATGTGTCTAGCTCCCTCGATGTTCGACAACAGGCATTACCACCTGAAAGGGTGAGCTATGGCGGAAAGTAAAAACTGCCAGGATGTTGGCCGTTGCTGCCAATTTTGGACACAGGAGAAAAAGCAGGACAGGCGCACCAGCCAAGCACAACCGAGGCGCATTTTGACGTCTGCCGTCCGCTCATGACGGAATTCGGTAACTAAATAAATTCAATCTAATCTAAATTGCGCAAACATTTCTAAAATGTATGAGCTAGCGTAATAAAATAACGTATAACTGCTTAGAATCTATTCGCTTTGGTGAAATAGGGCGATTGGGTTTGCACCTTCTCAATATCTACAATGTTGTTTTGAGGTATCAGCTGTTTCTCTAATCTTCCAAATATAAATCGAGCCGGTAACTGAGTAATAAGCAGCAACAATTGTAGCATTTTGGGAGCAAAGAAGTTGCAAGTCACCAATCTGAAATCTGTAAATTCTTTCACATCACTTTATTGACATATTTATCTTCACTAAAATTCAACCACATCCCTATTACGTTTATGTTTGTCGCGATATGTTTAAACCAAAATGTATCCTAAAAAAACCACAGATCCAATGACCAGTCCAAATCGAAGACCGTATGTCAGCAAGCAGTCTAATCGATAATACTGCATCAGTGAAATGTCCCCGGAATTAAGGCGAATAAGGGCAGCATTCCGGTGCCTCAGGGCGTACTCCGTCCACCAGACTGCAGTCTCCAAAGGACTCAAGGGTCTGTCCCTGAATGCCTCCGACATTTCCTTGGCCCTTTCGGCATATTTAGGGTTCTCAAGAAGCTCCAGAATAGTGCTGGTTAGTGAATCTACGTTTAAATTATTCGGATCTAGCACCTCAGCCATTCCTGCTACTCGCACCTGATGTATATTGCTGAAGTGATCGAAGAACAGCGGCAATCCGAGCATAGGAACTCCACTGTACACCGCCTCTACCAGGCTCAGCATCCCTCCTTGAGTGATGAAAAGTTGGACATTGTGATGGGCCAGTACCTGACGCTGAGGCGTTTTTGCAATCATATATATTTTGTCCGTTTTGTTAGGTGTCGTGGAGAGCTCGTTTTTCCAAACAACTCTCTGCTTCAATCCAGCGAAAGTCTGGTGAAGTACTTGCTGCATATTGGTTGGCAAAAACCTGATATGGATATCCTGACCCATGGAAAAATAGATGACCCCGTCCTCCGCTTCGTCCATAAATCTCTGCAGTTCTTCGTCACACGGTTCAGGAGCTTCGCTTAGATGCAGACCTCCAATCTCGATAATGTTAGGCACATTGGCACGAGGCCTTCCCAAACTGAAGTGGTTGTTGACCAAGAAAACAGAAAACCTGGCCCTCAAATCATCGAATTTCTGCGAGGAGTAGCCGAAGTACTTCTTGAAGAGGCGCAACTGACCTGGTCGAACAATGAGGTGCACCATTAGTCTCTCCTCGATTATGTATATCCAATTATAAAACATGCTGACCAGGGAGTGGTCCGTGAAGTAGCCCCACGGAGAAATGGGTTCGTTAATGCTTGGTGCCGGATTGCCCGCAAGCTCTTCTATAATCCAATTTAGGCGGTAGGAGGAGAAACCCATCAGGGTGGCATTGTAAAACTCGCCCAGCCCATTGAGAGCGTCCAAATTACCTCCTTCTAACAGTACCAGGTCGAATCGTTCACTGCGGTCCTGGAGCATGTGTTGTACACCATCGTCGCTGAGTATATCCTCTGACATATTGTAAAGCATAGCCGCGGACACCTCATTTTCCAACCATTTGTTCTTGAAGAAGTTCATTACTAGGTCGGACTCCAATAATTCTGACCAGATTTACGACAATATAAGATACTGGTAAGCAAAAGGCAAGAAATGGCTTACTCACCGTGCATGTGTTGGTTCAGCATGGCCACTCGTATGTGTCGTACTCCCTCGATGTCGGCCGGCATTCCAACGGGTGTTATCATGGTCACATTGTGGCCACGATCGACCAACGCCCTCACCAAGGGCCGCACCACCTGGAAGGGAGAGGGCTGCCAGTAGGGAAAGACACCCAAGATGTTGGCTGCCTGCGAAAGGTCCCCATGAAGATCCAGGTGTAGGTACAAGCACAGGTAAACCAGCCAACTACAGCCAAGGCGCATTTTCACGATTTCCGTCCGCTCATGTCGGAGCTCTATCCACAAATGAACACAATCTAATCAAAGTTGTGCTCTTGAAAGCTTCAGTTCGATATTCGAGTAGAATCAACGAACTTAACTGATATGGAATGCACCGACATGTTTAATTTAAAAAGAGATAACACTTTGTATTTATCAACACAATTTTTACCGTGTTATCACTAAACTTTTGTAGGGTATTTTAATGTTGACCTCGAGATTATATTAAGTTATTTTATTTTTTAATGATAACTGATAATAACATCAGAAATACAAAAGACTTTAAGCGCATAATAACAGTTAATCACATTATTGGTAAGTTTATTGGAACATGTCTCTGATTATCATGATGACTTTGAAACCACATGTAGACTAAGAAGATTATGGATCCAACGACCAATCCGAACCTGAGACCATAGGTCAATAGACTGTCCAATTGGTAATACCGCATCAATGAAATGTCCCCGGAGTTGAGGCGAATATGGCTGGCATCCGGGTGCCGCAGGGCGTACTCCGTCCACCAGACTGCAGTCTCCAAAGGACCCATGGGTCTGTCCCTGAAGGATGCAGACATTTCCTTGGCCTTTTTTGCATATTTTGGGTTTTCGAGAAGCTCCAGAATAGAGCTGGTTAGCGAATCTACGTTTAATTTATTCGGGTCCAGGATCTTGGCCATTCCAGCCTGTCGCACCTGGTTTATATTGCTTGAGTGATCGAAGAACAGAGGCAGCCCTAGCATAGGAACTCCACTGAACACTGCCTCCATCACGCTCAGCATACCGCCTTGACTGATAAAAAGCCGGACATTGGGATGGGCCAGCACATGGCGCTGAGGGGCCTTCGCTATCATATATATTTTGTCCGTTTTGTTGGGCGTCGTGGAGAGCTCGTTCTTCCACACAATCCGCTGCTTTAGTTTGGAGAAAGACTGAACTAGTGGCTGCTGCATATTCTGCGGGAGAAAGCGGACTAGGATATCTAGGCCCATTGAAAAATAGATGACACCATGCTCCGCTTCGTCCATGAAACTCTGCAGATCTGCATCACACTGCTCCGGTGTTTCGCTAAGATGCACACCTCCAATCTCGATAATGTTCGGCACATTGGCTCGAGGCCTTCCCAAGCTGAAGTGGCTATTGCTCAAGATAATCGAGAATCTGCTACGCAATTCCTGAAATGTCTCGGCCGAGTAGCCAAAGAACTTCTTAAAGAGACGCAGCTGAGGTGGTCGGACAAGGAGGTGAACCAGCATCCTCTCTTCGTTGATGTAGATCCAATTGTATATCATGCTGACAAACGAGGTATCCATGGAGTAGCCCAGTGGAGAAATGGGTTCGTTGATGCTGGGGGCCGGGTTGCCTGCCAGATCCTCTGTATTCCAGTTAAGGCGAACAGAAGAGACACCCATCAGGGTGGCATTGTAGAGCTCCCCAAGGCCGTAGAGGGCGTCCAGGTTACTCATCTCCAGCATGACCATGTCGAATGTTTCGCTCCTGTCCTGTAGCATCCGTTGGACGCCATCATCGTAGAGGATAGCCTCCGACATATTGTAGTGCATTTCGGATGCTAGGATGCCTTCAGTCCATTTGTTTTGTAAGTAGCCCAGCAATAGGTCAGAGTCCATTAGATCTGCAGGATACATATAGATTCAATTACTAAATATACATTATTATATTATATTATATTAATTTTACCCTGCATGCGCTGGTTAAGCTTGGCCACGCGTATGTGTCGAACTCCTTCAATATCGGCCGGCAATCCCTCGGGTGTTATCAAGGTGACATTGTGACCACGTTCGACTAACGCACTCACCAAAGGCCTTACTACCTGAAATGGAGAGCTGTGACGAAAGGGAAATACTCCAAGAATCCTGGCTGTCTGTATGAGTTCCAGCTTCTGATGCAGCCATAAAAACACTAGCCAAGCACAGCCGAGGCGCATTTTCACGCTTTTCGACCGCTCATGTCGGCGCTCCGTTTTGAAATGGCACAATCTAATCTGGTCTCAAGAGCCCATGAAAGTTCCAGTTCGATTTACAAGCTAGAACAGATAATGTGCTGATAACTTAAATAGTTAAATGATAAGAAAAGCTCGCTGATTTGTTGATATGTAGTTATTGTTACCAGTAATTTGTTTGTCATGGCGTTTATATTATTTTGTAATGTTTGTTTTGTTATGTAAATAATTATTAATAATATTTAAAGCTTATGTAATATACAAATTAAATTATAAATATTGCAATGCCAAGAATACATATATTACTTTACATTGCATAAATTATTTATTGAGGTTTCTTCTTCTTAAGTGGGTATCAATTGTATTTGAAAACGCCGTAGCTCGGAATAATGGGCAACAACAGTCGGAGTACTGCGAACAGCTGATGTGATAAGATACTAAATCGTGGGACTGACTATCAGCTGTCGACTTGCGATGAAACGTATGCTATGAATTGAATGTTAACAAGTGGTATCTTTCTCTTAACGGTATATTTTCCGACCTTTATTGAAATTTTATATTGTGGCAATATTTACTATCGCGTTACACCTACGTCTATGTTGCTGTTTCATACCAATCCAGCGGCATTCTTATCTGGAAAAATACCCTCTCTCTTTCCACAAGGCGTCTCTGCCTGTCGAGATATTTTTGGTACAACCTATAGCCGAGAAGGATTATTGATCCGGCGACTAATCCAAGACGAAATACCACGGACAGCGCAGTTTCCAGTCTGTAGTACTGGATCAGGGGAATCTCCTCCACGTTGAGGCGCATGTGGGTGGCATCACGGTTACGCAGTGCGTACTCCGTCCACCAGACTGCCGTCTCCAGAGGACTCATGGGTCTGTCCCTGAAGCACTTGGACATTTTCTTGGCGCTCGCTGCATATTCTGGGTTCTCCAGCAGCTTCAGAATTGTGCTGTTCAGAGTGTCTTCGTTGAGATTATTGGCGTCCAAGACTTCGGCCATGCCGGCTTGCTTCACTCGGTGCAAATTATTAAACTGGTCGAAAAACAAGGGCAGTCCCAGCATTGGCACTCCGCTGTTTATGCCCTCCATCACGCTCAGCAGTCCGCCGTGGCTTATGAACAGCCGGAGGTTGGGATGGGCCAGCACCTGGCGCTGCGGTGCTCTGGCTATCACATATATGTTGTCCGACTTGTTGGGATTAATGGAGTACTCGCTTTTCCACACCACACGCTGTTTTAACCGAGAGAACACCTGCAAGAGTGGTTTCTGCATGTTTTCCGGCAGAAACTTTACGAGGATTTCCAGGCCCAACGAGAAGTAGATGACTCCGTGCTCCGCCTCGTCCATGAATCTCTGCAATCGCTCGTCACAGGGTTCCGGTGTCTCGCTAAGGTGCAGCCCTCCCACCTCGATGAGATTGGGCACATTCGATCGAACCCTTCCCATGCTGAAGTGACTATTGATCAGAATCACCGAGAACCTGGATCTTAAATCGTCCTGCATCTCCGCCGAGTAGCCAAAGAACTTCTTGAAGACTCGAAGCTGGGCAGAACGAAAGACCAGGCGCTCCAGCAGCTTCTCCTCGGTTATATAGACCCAATTGTGCCATTTGTTGATCAGGGAATGATCGAGGGCATAGCCCATGGGCGACACGGGCTCGTATACACTCGGAGCGGGATTTCCAGCCAATAAATCGATGTTCCAGCTGGTGGTCACACAGGACAGCCCCATCAAAGTGGCATTGTAGTACTCGGCCAGGCCGTAGAGAGCGTCCAGATGACTGGCCTCCATTAGGATCATATCGAACCGTTCGTTCCTGTCGCGTAGCATTTTTTGGACTCCACCATCACTAAGAATGGCGTGGGAGGCGTTGGCCAGCATTGTTGCGGACATAACGCCCTCATTCCATTTGCTTCGAAAGAAGTCCAGGAATTGGTCAGACTCCATTATATCTATCAGACAAATTTAATAAATAAATTGTTTGCCTAATAAGAAAGGTCATGGAATACAAATTTATTATGAATATAATTTCGAAATGTATTTTTAAAGGGTTTTTGGATATATTTTGTTACTTATAGTTTGAACTTTATTTAATCAGTTGAGAAATCAATACGCGTAAAACCACATTTCTACGATAATGGCCAATCAATGGTTTGCAATTCTCAAGACTTTTTTGAAAACATTTTCCTTTTAGAAATGTAACATTTAAATAGTACATTATTAATCAAAATCCAATTTCTTTAGGTTTTAATGACGCCTACGCTTCAAGTGACTCACCTTGCATAAGCTTGTTCAGCATTGGCACTCGTAGATGACGGACTCCCTCGATGTCTGGAGGCAAACCCACGGGTGTTATCATCGTGATACTGTGACCCCGCTCCACTAGAGTCCTTACCAAGGGTCGCACCACCTGGAAGGGTGAGAGCAGGCGGTACGGGAAGATGGATAGGATATCGGCTGCCGGCACCACCGCCAGGTGTACGAGCAGGTGCAAAATCAGGCCGAGGCAGCCGGTGCGCATTTTCACGCTTTACGTCCGCTCATGCCGGAGTTCTATGCCAAACTGAAAGCAATCTTATCTGAGCCCGAGCACCCATGAAAGTTCCAGTTCGATGGCCGAGCAATAATAATAAACTAGCAGAGTTATCAGCAAATTTAGATAATTTTCGGGTTTCAAACTGATAGCGCAAGAAAACGTTCTTATCGAATCAGCTGCTCACCTTCCCGCCAAAGGGGAAATTTTTTTTAAAAACATCCCTTTATGTTGTCCTCTTCTAAGGTTTACTGTATATCTGTATCCTTTTGGACTCTCTAGTTCGCATGCGCTGAATGAGCCATCTAGGGAGATTTTTCCATGAGACTTTTATTCCAACGCAGTTTGATTTGTACCACGTTTCCATAAATTGTTGCCATATATGGTACAGCAAATTATTCCTTTATAGGAATTCAAAATGAAGGATTTATGGGAGCTATGTAATATATAACTATAAGATTTTACTGCTGTAAAATATAAAAGATTTAAAATGTTTAATTTTAAAGAGAAAGGAATCTAACTTAGGCACGCCAAAGTTTGTATACCCTTTCAGTTTACAATTGATTTCTTATTAAGTATCTCCGTTTTTGGCCAAATGAAAAACTAATACTAATAAGAGATGTACAATAGATATATAGTTAGCCATAATTTATATAATAATTTTAGGGCAAACAAAACCTTAAAAATCGGTTCTTTGCGCGTTTTTTCTAAGTTAACAAATCAAATTTGCCAATTTTCACAAACTTAAAGATGTAAAACCTCTTATTAAATTAAAAAAAAAGGTATAGCTTAACCGACTCGGCATTTTATATATATTATTTATAGAGTCCGAAATGCCTCCATTAATGTTTATCTTTTGAATAAAATTATAAGGGTAGAAAAGCCATACAAATTCATTATATTTTTTTATGGTTTGGTTTATTGCTTATTTTGATTATTACGTTATTATTTAATTAAATAGTAAATTTGCCTTTCGTTATTTACATAAGTATGCATATGCAATGTGAGATATAAATGTTATTCCCTTTTCCGACACATAGTAACTCGCATGACCCCGCAAGAATGTCGGATAATTCAGCATTTAACCTTTTACTGCCCCCGCAGGTGAAGGTGTAAAATGCCATCGCTCTCCATTTGGCCGAACGCAGTCTATGGCCTCGTAAATGCAACTGTGCGTTTTATATTTTGACTATAACTCAAAGTGCATTTCAACGGCGCCTCTATTTGCATCCTGCATTCGAGGGGTGGATTCCAGTGGGTGCTGGAAGGGGTACTATATGTGGGCGCTGGTGCCGTTCAAACATGCATGAGTTGCACGAAGTGGGCGGCAAATGTTACCAGCCGGAGCCTAGAATGATGAAGAGGCGGGTCCTGGGACTGCAGCCGAGGTGAGGGTGCGCGGGCTGAGTCCCACGGGGACTGGCAGGCCAAATTAACTTAACACTCATAAATCAGCGTTAACGGCAACCGCAAAAAGCGTTGCATAAAAAATGGTTATGGGCCCTCTTTTCGGGACTCTCTTTTTGGAGTTGCTGTCCCTTTGACGTGGAAAATGGGATCGGTGTGGCAACAATGCATCGTTGCATTCCAAATAAACAGTTCTCGTAAAATGCAAGCGTTTGCATTGCTGAGTTGATGGCCGGAACATTTCTGATCTGCCTGCCAGCCGAGCATATCAGGCTGGGCCAATCGAGGTGATGGCCTCTGAGTCCCTAATACGCATTTGTCAGGGGGGATTAATTTCGATGGGCATCAGCTTCTATCCAGCCCATCACAAATCAAGGATCTTTCAGAATTTGGTAAAGTCTGCCTGGATTCCCTTTGCTCGATATCACAGCTTCGAATCCTGTCTGACTGCCGAAAATGCCGGGCATTTCGCCTGGTTACGCCGGGCAATTTGGTTCGGTTTGCCCGAAATTGCTGCCGTCAATTTTGGTAATTAAATTGTAGTGCTCAATTTGCCATCTTTTTAATCGGCATCCAATCATCGTTCAGAAGTAATTTAGATGGATTTCAGTTAGCAGTTTTTGCCCCGGCACCGCGCATACGTAATTGAGTGCGGCTCTGAAGGGTGGGGAAGCGTGCGCAAAAAATGGCCTCGATTGCAGCGGAATGCATAATAAATACGTACAGCGACAGGCGCGTAAACGCTTTCGACGGAAATGTAAATGATATCAATGCGGCAACCCGGGCTGGCAATATTTATGCGCTTTTGATTCGGCACTGAGAAGAAGTGCCGCGCACTAAATCACAATTTGCCGCCAACTGGCGATGACAAAAGCGGGCTTCTCGCCCTTTCTTGTCCTTGGGAAAGCCCACCGCAGCGGCAGCTGGGAGTTTGATTTTTTAAGGATCTTACTTGGCGTCTGCCCGATTGCTTTTTTCACCCAGCTGCCCCCTAGTATCGGGTGTAATTTATGCGAGCAAGCGCCACCGGAAGCGGAAACGAGTGCGGAAGCTGTCTAATTATTCAGCGGCAGTCGGTTAATGGAGCGTCTTACTTCTCGTCTGATTTTTGTGACTTGTTGCTGCGCTTTGCATGTTTATCGACTGATCCCTCGGCCAACTGTTGCAGACGCCGTTTAATTATCTTAATGGGACTATGCGGCGAATGCGCAATATTGACTGACGGAGGCGTGCAAATGTCGGCGGTCCTCGCACGCAAGGACAAGGGAGCCGAGTGGTATAAGGACATGCTGTCACATTGCATCAAGCACAAAACAATAAAATGCTCGCCGACCCAGCCCGGCAGGTGTCGCTGCCGTGATAATGTCAACAGCGGAAACAATAAAAGCCGCAGTTGTCTTTCGACTTGGCTGCGGGCTCCGCTCCAAAAGGACATCTCCAGGACATGGCGGAGCAGGAGCGAGAGTAGGAGTGCCTTCTTCAGATGGAGATAGCAGCTGACGGGCCCGGAAGAGCGGGGGGTGTTTAATGTGTCGTTCTGCTTTTCCGGCTCCTTTTCCAGAGAATATGAGACAGAGAAAAGTTGGCGACTTTATCTGAGACTAGGCCTGCTATAGTATTATCTTTAATATTTACTTAAAACATATTTTATAAAAAATTATGTAATAGTATAGTTTTGTCACATTTTACTCTTCTCTAAGCTAGGCTTATTTTAAAATATTTGTATTCTTTTTTTAAGCAAAATTTTGTTTTCTCTGTGTGTACTTATCTTGAGAAGCCAAACGTTAACTTGGCAATCTTATTAAAGGCCCCACCTATAGTTTCTGCAAATGTTTGCCATTGCTTTTCATTTCCGGTTGAGCCCAAAAGTTGTCTCAAAGGGTTCGGCAGCAGAGCAGCCTAAGCGGAAAGTTGGCCCAAAAGGCGGACTTGGCCCACATAAATTGCCAGATGCTGGTGGCAGCCACTTCACACGCCGCTGACAAGCGTCAGACTCAATAAATTACATTTTGCTGGCGGTGGCTCCGAGGCCCGCCTGTCAGTCCGTCGTCCTTGGGTCTGTGTGCTGGCCAGGCCTGCGGCTTCATAAATTGATGCTGGTACCGGGGCTAGGACCTTGAACCGCCGCCGCTGGACGGCCCTCTTCGTCCTGGAGTGGCCACTCCAGGGCCTGCCAGCTGCTCTCGAGTGTGGCCAATGCAACTTTAGTTTCAGCTCCAGATTGTGTTTGTTCCTGCGTTGTTTTGCGTTGTGCTGTGCGGCTGCCCGCAAAGTTCCGCTTCCACTTTCTAGTCGAGGGGAGGCAGGCAGAAATTAAAATTTATATGTCAAGCAGGCACAGCGGAAAGTTGGGTAGCAACTTTGCGGTCTGGCAGAGGCAGAGGCAGGGAGGCAGCGAACTTTTGTGCCACATTGAGCGCAATAATGCCAACAATAACAATATTACCAGCCAACCAGCGGCACCCCCGCCAAGGATAATGCAAACTAATGCCGAATTCGAATCCGCATCCACAGCCACCGCAGCAAGGTCGGGAGGAGCTGGTTGCCCCAGTGGCTCGTTTTGCTGCCATTATTGTTATTATTGGACTGCGACTGCACAAGCTAATGCAAATGCGATCCTCAATGGCCTTAAAGTGTCAGCTGCTGCGCTGCTCTTTGTCCTGCTTTTTGGCCTGCAAGGACTCTAATTGCCAGCAACAAATTCCAATTAGCCGCCCCAAATCTCCAGCGTGCAAAGCGGATGCAGTGCAGCCGGAATACAGAATCCCCCGGATTCAGTCCACTCGCCTGGCCGACTTTTATGAGCATAAGCGAGGCCAATAAACGCTCAACCTCATGCGATTATCGCCTCAGCTCCCCGAGCCGGAAACCCGGGCGGCCGGGGGAAACTGGGGAAAGTAGGGAAATTGGCCAAAACATCCGAAACAGCCAGAGGAGCTGGCTGCGAGTGCTGTGCCGCTGCTTTCAAATGCAGTTGCAGCTCTCGTGCCTTCCTGGCGGGTCCTTGCCAGCTTTTAAGCGTTCAAATATTTATAAAGCGAAAAATGTTATGTTGACGCGCTGGCGGCCACTTTGAGCTTTGAGGGTCAGAAGGAACTGGCTAAAGTGCCGAGAATTAGACCAAATGCGAAGCGAAGCAGGCTGTAAACATTTAAAATATATCTCAGAAAGAGTGGCTCATTCCACAGACAATAAAAAACCATCTCGATGAAATGATTTAGGTTTTACGTTACGTATTTTCCAGGAATGTGTTTCTCAACGTATTCATTTGAATTTATAGATATTCAGCAATTAATGAATTTAACTTTAAAATAATCATAGAGAACCAAATAATAATGTGCTTTTTTTGAATAGAAATGAATTCAAGAGTATGCAATCTTCGGCTTCCCAAAGTTAGCTTCCCTTCTTATTATTTATTTCAATTTATTACCCCGCCCCAGCCCAAGAACCCTCGGATATCAAGTCTAGACACACGCATTGTTATACATTTTAATCAACGCTGTCATTTATAATTCCGAGCTGCAGCCGCAGAATCCGATGCCGAAACCAGGGCTGAGAGTCCTCTGAAAATGCTCCTTCAAGCTGCGACAACA